AGATACTGATTCGAGTGGCTCAAAGGGATCGGATCGCAGACTCGTGAGAACGAGGGCGAGATCCCAAGAGGGCATGAGAGGGGGGCGAGATGGATTAATTCGCCTAGCACCCCTAAGGAACTGGATGACCAGGTTATGCTTTCCCACGGTGCCGCCAGCTACCGCGCTATGATAAGCGGAGATGGCGGCCACGTAAACCTTGAGAGTGGAGGGCGACAGCCTGCTGTCCAACTTCTCTTGAAGGAAAGAGAGCACAACACTAATCTGGCAATTTCGGGGGTCTTCTCTGCGAGAGACGCACCATTCAGTGAATAGACTCCACTTCAGGGCGTAGGCGCGCCTCGTGGAGGGGGCTCTAGCCTGAGTGATGGTATTAACCACCGCAGTCGGTAGGTTACCTAAGTCTTCCTCGCGTCTAGGGACCACACGTGGAGGTTCCAAAGATCGGGGCGAGGGTGCCAGATGGTGCCCTGTCCCTGAGAGAGTAGGTCCTCTCTCAAAGGGATCCGCCAGGGGAGGGCCGTCGCGAGGAGTGAGAGCTCTGATATCCAGGTCCGGTTGGGCCAAAGGGGCGCAACTAGCAGAACCTGTTCCTCGTCCTCCCTGACCTTGCACAGAAACTGCGCGAGCAGGCTCACTGGGGGAAACGCATACTTGCGCATGCCCCGAGGCCAGCTGTGGGCCAGTGCATCCGTGCCGAGAGAGCCCTCGGTCAGGGAAAAAAACAACTGGCAGTGAGCGTTCTCGGGGGAAGCAAACAGATCGATCTGGGCCTCCCCGAATCGCGCCCATATCAGCTGAACAGACTCGGGGTGGAGTCTCCATTCTCCAGGGCGTAACAGCTGTCGTGAGAGCGCATCGGCTGCACGATTGAGCGTGCCTGGGACGTGAATGGCGCGCAGCGATTTCAGCCGCGGGTGACTCCAGAGGAGCAGACGGCGGGCGAGCTGAGACATGCGGCGAGAGCGCATACCCCCCATGCGGTTGATATACGCCGCCGCCGCCGTACTGTCCGTCCTGACTAGCACGTGTTGCCGCTCCAGCACCGGTAAAAAGCGGTGGAGAGCGAGGAACACTGCCAACAGCTCTAGGCAATTGATATGCCAATGCAGCTGGGCACCCTTCCAGAGGCCCGCAGCCGCATGCCCGCGACACACGGCCCCCCAACCCGTGTTGGAAGCGTCTGTTGAAACAACAACATGGCTGGACGCCTGTCCTAGAGGCACACCGGCCTGTAGGAACGAGGGGTCGTTCCAAGGGCTGAGGGCGCGGCGACACAGCGCAGTAACCGAGACCCGGTGTGTGCCCGCGTGCCATGCGCGTCTGGGGACCCGATCGTGAAGCCAGTGCTGAAGTGGTCTCATATGGAGCAACCCGAGCGGCGTGACGGCGGCTGCGGATGCCATATGCCCCAGGAGCCTCTGAAAGAACTTCAGTGGGACCACTAGTTTGCTGTCGAGCTCCCTCAGACAGTTCAGCAACAGGCGAGCGCGTTCCTCGGAGAGGTGCGCTACCATGGTGATCGAGTCCAGCTCCATCCCGAGAAAAGAAATCCTCTGCACGGGGGCGAGTTTGCTCTTTTCTCGGTTGACCTGAAGCCCCAGTAGGCGGAGATGCCGAAGCACCTCGTCCCTGTGCATAATCAATTGCTCCCGCGAGTGGACTAAAATCAGCCAGTCGTCGAGATAACTGAGTATGCGAATGCCCGCGAGCCGAAGGGGCGCTAGGGCACCCTCCGCGAGTTTGGTGAAGACCCGCGGAGACAGAGAGAGCCCGAAGGGGAGGACCTTGTACTGCCACGCTCGACCCTCGAACGCAAACCGCAGAAATTGGCGGTGGCGTGGAAGAATGGAGACATGGAAATACGCGTCCTTCAGGTCTATGGCTGCAAACCAATCCCGAGGACGAACGCATTGGAGAATGCGCCTCTGCGTGAGCATTCTGAACGGCAGCTTGTGCAGACAGCGGTTCAAAACGCGCAGATCTAGGATTGGCCGTGACCCACCGCTCTTTTTGGGTACGATGAAGTATGGGCTGTAAAACCCACTCTCCATCTCGGCTGGAGGAACCGGCTCGATTGCACCCTTCGCCAGGAGGGCAGCAATCTCCTCTCGCAAGACAGGGGCGGACAGGGGGTTGACCCTGGAGAAATACACGCCCGTAAACTTGGGGGGCCGTTTCGCGAACTGAATCGCGTAACCGAGTCTGATTGTGCGTATGAGCCACCGCGAGGGGCTGGCCCGCGCTAACCAGGCAGGCAGAGCCCTCGCTAATGGAGTCATCGCTACAATCGCTGACGTACCAGCGGTGGGGCAGCGCGGAGTGGGTGTGCTGATCCGGGAAGCACGAGGGTCCCGCGGAAAAGCTGGAGGAGAGCGATTCGTTCTGGCTCCGCACCCTGACTCCGGAGAGGGGGCTGGAGGGCTGAGGGAAGGGAGACCGTCCCCCCAGCGCTCGTAAGCCACTGGCGAAGCACGTAGAGTCTGCGAGCCGGAAGGCAGCGCGTCCCGGACTGGCAGAACTCGTGCAGTCACATCCGGGGAAGGGGAAAAGTGCTCTTTTACTGATGTTTTGGTGGCACTGAAAAGTACCGTTGTTATCGGGGCCCCGCCCTCCAGTGGGGAAAGAGCAAGTTTCCTCTTCTCCGGATGGCCTGTCTCAGGGACGCTTCGCGGTCCGTTTACCGGACTTAACGGCGCCCTGGGCAGGAGGGGCTGCCTGCTTTCGAGGTGAACGCCGCGCCCGCTTGGCCGGAGGCGCAGGCGGGGGCGGGGCAGCACTCGTTGGCGGGCGCCCTCGGCGAGGAACAGCGGAGGTGGATGGCTCGGCGGGCGGAGCGGGCTTACGGCCACGCCGATAGATGACATTGCCCATCGCATCCGACTGCTCTTTCACCGCCTTGAATTCCTGGGTGAATTCACCGACGGTGTCGCCGAACAGGCCAGCCTGGGATATGGGCGAGTCAAGAAAGCGAACTTTGTCAACGTCGCGCATATCGGCCAGGTTTAGCCAGAGGTGGCGTTCCTGAACCACAAGTGTGGACATCGTCCTCCCCAGCGCACACGCGGCGGACTTAGTAGTCCGAAGAGCATAGTCGGTCGCGGTGCGCAGCTCATGTAATAAGCTTGGGTTGGACCCGCCCTCGTGCAGCTCGGCCAGCGCCTGCGCTTGGTAGCGCTGGTAGGTGGCCATCGCGTGCAAAGCAGAAGCAGCCTGGCCCGCAGCCTTATAAGCTCTGGCTCCGAGGGAGGCAGACAACCTACAGGCTTTGGACGGGAGGCGGGGCAAACCCCGCCACGTAGAGGCGCCGCGCGGACAAAGATTGACCGCGATAGCGCGCTCCACTGACGGGATCGCCTCATACCCCCTGGCAGCTCCGCCGTCAAGGGCGGTGAGGGCGGAGGCACTCGCAGCACGGGCAGAGAAAGGTGCCCTCCAAGACTGCGTGAGCCTACTGTGCACTTCCGGGAAGAAGGGGACGAGAGGCTTCGAAGGCTTCGCCTTCTGGTCCTCTACGTAGCACCCATCTAGTCGGTCCGGCCGCGGAGCTGGGGGATAAACCATCTCCAACCCCACGGCCGAAGCAGCCCGGGAAAGCACGGCTAACATGTCCGCTTCAGGATCCGATTTGACAGCGCTCACCTGCCCGGAGGGGGCGAGCGGGTCCGGATCTTCGTCGGACAGTGAAAGCCCACCCTCCGATGCCGCGGAGGACATCTGATCTCCGGTGTCAGCGAGTGTGAGAGCTACCATCTGGTTAGACGGATCACTCTCACCACCCGAAGCTTGGATGGAGCGCCGTGAGGAGCGAGAGGTCCGCGAGCCCGTGGGCGGCGGATTAGCTCCCGCTGAAACCCTCAGATCTGCCCGAGCGCCCGCTGCTTTTTTAGAACAGGAGGCAACTGGGGTGGCTCGCTCTCTTGCGAAAGTTAGCCGCGATCTTAGCTGTGCAACGGTCATGGCATCGCAATGACGACATGAACCGCCCGCGAGCACCGCATTAACATGCTGGACCCCCAAACATGCAATGCAGTGATCGTGTCCATCATCCGGAGCCAGGAAACCCCCGCATCCAGAAACGCACAGTCGGAGCGCCATCCTGAAAAGGACGTGCTGCACGACTGTGTTGCTCTTTTAGGAAAGTTGCAACTATACGCACCGCTCTGGAGGACCGGACCCAAAGAACCGCAGGCAAGGGAGTAACCCAGCTCGACCGTCTGCCACCGCGAAGACCCACTCTGGACCGGGAGACACACTCGTTCGCTCTGAAGTGCTGAACAGCAAGAGGAACCCTCATCGACTCACTCAGAAAGGATCTGAAGCGAAAAGGATGGCGTCTGCTGGCTTCAGGTGTGCTTATATGCTGAGATAATTGCAGATGTCGCACACCTGCGCAAGCTTACGCTGCCAATTAATTTCATTCATTGGCCCGTTCAATACTCTCCAGATAAGCGGCTTCTGATCCGAATCCTCCCATTCATGGCACTGAAGTTCCCCAACCGAAGGGGAACTAGGTATTGCATTACTGATTCAAAACAAATGATGACAGCATGTTATATTTTACTTGATATTTTTCAAGATACTATTACTAGTATTCAGCTTAAAGTGCAATCTAAAGGTTTAACTAGATTAATTAGGCAGGTTAGTGTAATTAAGCAAGTCATTGTATAAAGATGGTTTGTTCTGTAGACAAGACGATAAAAAAATTGCATAAGAGTGCTAATAATATTGACCTTAAAATCAATATTTTCTCCAAGTTTTTTTTTTTTTTTTTTGGCTTTTATTATAGCTGAAATAAAACAAATAAGACTTTCTCCAGAAGAAAAAATATTATAGTAAATACTGTGAAAAATTCCTTGCTCCATAAACATAATTTTGGGAAATATATGAAAAAAAAGCAATTCACACTATTATTTTTATTAAAACTATATTTGCATATGTGATGCATATTTTAGTGCACCTTGTGTGAAATTTTTTTATTTTTATTTATTTTTTTTTCATTTTTAATACCTTTATTCAATAAACTTAACCGAACATCACTCATCAGGGCTCAAAATCAACTTTTTTGCTTAGTAGCACTGGTGCTCCTAACTTTAAAAATGTGGTCGCACCAGCCAAATTTAGTCACACCCACCAAGATTTATGTGCACTGTTACTACAAGTTTTATATTAACAGATTTATTGCATTTGAAATCATCCTGGCCTTTAAATGAAGGATTATATAGAACCTCTCGCACTCAAAATTTGTAGATTCAGTGACACTGTTAAAAACTCCATCACACAGACTTTAAAGTGAATGGCTTTAAGAGTCTTATTCACTTTTCGAAGAGTGTATCATTAATCAGCTGTGTCATTATTTGTAACTTTAAGTAGTTTTTAAAACAAAATCTGTCTGTGCTTTTTTTCCCCTCATCTACAATGCATTACATTTTCGTGGCTGTACCCCCGTCACCTGAAGACAGAAAGCATTGACTGAATAATTGACAGCTGATATTAACCAATCCATTCGCGTTCAGTTCTAGAACAGTGCGCCAATCAGAAGAGCTTGAAGCACTGCACTGCAGGATTTGTTTACTGTTGAACGTTGACGGGATGACTGTTTTAAACTATTCCTGAGTGCTGCATTTCACATTTTTAGGTGCAAAGATGCATTCTGCGTGATTGTCTCCTAAGTCTGCTCATCCGGTGAACATTTTGCATTAAAAACTGGTCGCACGGCAACAATTATTCACACGTACAAATGCTCCCAAATATATCTTGAGGTTGCATAGATAAAATCTCAGTGCATATGTGACCAAAACGCAACCAAGTTAACAGTTTGACTTTACAGAAAGTACCTTTTTTGCTTTCTATATAAGAATCTCAAAACTATTCACAACTTATCAAAAACAAATATATAATGTAAATAAAATTTACCAGAGTGGGAATGTGTAACGTCAAAGTTGACAAAATAAAAAAAAGTAAGATAGAACCTCATAATCCCAAGGTGACTAAATGTAGCCATGAATATCAACATACTTAAACTTATAAACAGTCACAGATCAGATCACGCGCAAAAATAGACTGTAGGTGTAGTTCAGACAAACTACATTTCCCTGCATTAAAAGGAGGTGTAATGCAAAAGCCCCTGGATGATTTGAAAGGGGAGGAAGAGACATTGTCCAGGCCTAAAAGAAATGAGTTAGCATACCTTATAAAGGCATGTAGAGAGAACAGTTAAATACACAAGTACAGAAAAGAGACAAAGCAGGAACAGCAATGTGACAGGACTGCAAACTAGAATCAACAATACACCTCCCTACAAAGCCTACTAAAGTAACAGAAGAGCGTATTGTAAGAGTTTCTAGAAAGGACCATCTGAATCCACTTTCCTAGTTCCATTTTAGACTTTAAATATGCTAGAAGTAATTAGCTTCACTGATTAAAGTTCAAGGGGTGTTACTGGTTTGGGCATGACTGAGCTTTACACTAGTGTTAGTGCCGGCACAGCCTCAATAAAGGCAATAGTAGTCAGGAGACACCTAGGCACATGCAGAAATGCTACATGCTAGGCTACAGCCAGGGGACGCAGAGGGAGCTGCAGGAGAGAAGAATGTATAAAAACAAACTGAGGACTATTCGTACCCTCTCCTCAACCAGCCATAATGTGGCGCACAAATGCTGTCGGAAGGAAAGGCATATGGATTAAACGCAGACACTACAACTGTGGTCTTGATCTTCAGTGAAGAAAAAGACCTTGTGTGTTATTGTACCTTCATAATTGATGCAACCGTTAGCGTCCTCGTGTCCTGCTAAGAGCGTCTCCACCTCTTCCTCTGTCATCTTCTCACCTGCATTAAAATAAATCGATTTTATTTATGATATTTTTAATATAAATGAAGTAGAGTGCATGTATGAGGCAAGTTCATTGATTGCTTAGTTTGAAAATTCTCCAGCAATGGCTTATATGCTTATTTATACCCACCCAAATTACTTCCAGAAAGAAAAACTCAAATTTGACCATATGAACCAGAATGAATATTAATGTCTAAAGCTCACACACAGCTCTGAAATACACACATGCAAAGTAATCATACCTCAGTTTTTAAAAAATATTGTCTTATTCATCTTTTCAGCGGAAGAGGTAGAGAGATTTATTTTAGCTAGAAGGAGAAGGAGCGAGGTATCTTTAAGCCACCAGAGAAAACTTTGTTTGCTACCGAGTTGTGCTGTGGATATGCTAAATGATGGTTTACTCAATAAAAAAAGCTGAAAGAAATTCATCTTGTGTTATATTTTGAATCTTTAAAGCATATAAAATATTGGCAAGTGTTAATGTCAACCTTTGCATAAACAGATGACTTTTTGTAGTTTATTGCTGATCTTTGACTCCAGAAAAAAAACACAGAAAGAGCTAAGTGATATGACACAACGCATAAACATGCATTAAACACTTATACTCAGCAGTTTATATGTGTTTGTTGCCTTGTTACAAACATACATATATCTGTAGTGTTGCCTCATTACAAACACATGTGGCAAATTTCACAATATACACGTTTCAGATTCTGACATGCTGTGAACACATTTCGCGTTTTTGTGATTGGCTGCTTGTTTTACGCTCGCAGAATGGCTTTCTCTAAAGACTCTCTCATTTCTAAAATAAGAGTCCCGCATTCATAGTTTCTAAAAAATATTTTTTTGTAAAAGCTAAGATAAGTTTAAAAATAATAAACAGATAATCATATCTCACTACGCAAATGTTGTGGTCAATCAAACGCAGCCTGGGGTGTACATATTAATGATCTCATGTGAAATATAAAAGCCTGTGTTTCATTCAGATTGGCTTGTTTTTCACAGAGATTTTACAATAACAGGAAGTACATGAGATTACAGTAGGGTTTAAGGCTCAGGTATGTCATTTCCATGTACTAAACTCTTATTATTCAACTATGTCAGTGTATTTCCAGACTTCATTATATGGCACCTTTAAGTATAATTTAGTTTGCGTTTACATTTCAATGGCAATATACAAACTTATGATAAATATATTAATATATATGTAAACTATTATATTATAAAACTTTACTTGCATTTTAAGTGCTAACTGATTTTAGATATTATTAGTATTATTTCTGTCAATAGTACTCTATTTAAAAAATTTATTCTCACAAGAGTATATGTAACATAATTCCAACAACACAATAAAATCCTACTACAATGGCGATTTAATTTTACTCCTTCAGCTAAATTAAATACAGGCAAAATTCAAAATAATACAATACAATACGACTTATTTATTGCATGCCTACTTGACCTATCTTTGAACTACACACACGCAGAGATGTATAAAGTACTAGAGACCCATACTTAAGTAAAAGTACAAGTGCTTTATCAAAAATTGACTTGAGTAGAAGTAGAAGTGCTCTTTAAGCACCATACTTAAGTGGAAGTACAAAAGTATTCAACATTTTTTGTACTTAAGTATTGCAAGTAGTTTATTTCAAAATTTACTACTCAAGTACTGAAAGTAAAAGTACAAGTATTGTGTAATGTAGTTATTATTACACTAATTATTTTGTTTATTTTAAATATCTTTTTTGGGGTAATTGATTTAGCAGAACGAAAAGAAACATGGTTTATGATACTGTTTTCCTCTGTAAATAGTTTCTATGGTACAGGAACTCACATCGTCAGGCCCTTTTACCAGAAAATGCCTTCACTGATGAGATTATTCAGCATGTTCACTCACATACATTCTCTCTCTCTCTCTCTCTCACACACACACACACACACACACCTAAATGTACACTCTCTCCCCACTCTCACACATTCATACACTCTCACACACACAGTTCTCTCTCTATCTCTCTCTCACACACACATTTTTGTGAATTGTGGGGACATTACATAGGTTGCAATTGTTTTTACACTCTCTCTCTCTTACACACACCCGCACACTTTTGTTCTCTCTTACGCACACATTATTTACTCTCACTCACACACACACAAAGACACACTCACACTTTGGGAGTTTTGAAGTTTGATTGGTTAATACCACAATAAACAGGAGTTCTGTCTTCTGGAAGCACTCGTGAAACTAAACTAAACAAGCAAACTAAATCCTGCTTCACTAATTCACTTGATTTAGATTTTATTTAAAAAAAACAGGAATTGCATTTTACTGTGTTAAATGAAAATCTGAAATATTGTATGGCTTATGGCTATGATTTAGTATGAATTTTTATTTATTTTTATTATGTTTTTAATTAAATTGGTCTTACAGTTCATATTTTCTGTAGTATATTTATTAATTCTGGTACATTTACCATAAACCAACATTTCAACCATTTGGTAGAGGCTGATATTTTAGAAATAATGTGATGTGTTGAATAAAAATGCACTTATTGTGTTAACTAGCGACATTAGGAGTTAAGAAATGCAATCAAAAAAATTCTATTGCTTTTGTCTTGGTGTGACAGTTAAAGGGTTTTTTGTAATACAATTTTGTCCTTTAATACAGCAGTCAGATATACGAACTGTGCCCTCAATTTGACCTGCTCAAAGAAAACACTCTTTCTGGATGTATCAAACAAAACTCATGCACAGAAGACAGCACGAGCATTTACAGCTAATAAACTCATGTCAATATTATCCCGCCTGCTTTTTGAGTGCTGACAGGCGGGTCTTACACGGCTATGATTGGTTATTTTCCTTAACGGAAAGGGCTTTAGAAATATAAGCGCTGTTCACCCATTGCGGGGAAAATACGTGATTTTTCACAGGTAATAAGACACAGTGGAGAAAACTTGCACATTAGGCATGCTCATGTCTGGATCCACAGCTTTAACAGCTAGGAAGAGGGGAAAAGTTACCTTACAAACTGGCCAGCGGGTCAAATGTCCAAAGTGAAAGAGCGAGAGATAGGCAGAGGTGAAGTTTTACAACATTTCTCCCTATTAGTAAACTAGCGGCTGATATGCTGTGCCGCCTCGTCCTCGCGCTTCCGTCCTTCGCCATAGTATTGCGACATCGCGCATAGGAGATAAATGACGTCATCACGTAATAACCGGTTACGGTCTATTAATGAACTGATATCAATCATTTTGACACCCCTAGTAACGAGTAACGATGCAGCACATAAAAAATCTATCGGAGTAAAAGTATTAAACTCATGGAAAATATGTACTTAAGTAAAAGTGGAAGTAGGACAAAAAAATAATACTCCAGTAAAGTACAGATACTGCCTTTTAGTACTTAAGTACAGTAGTGAAGTAGTTCTACTTCGTTACTATACATCTCTGCACACGGTTCTTCTCAAACCTTCCCTTGTACTTCATTTTATTTTTAAAACAAACATCAACAGACACTTTAAAAATAATAGAGCTCTCAGAGAGAAAAAGTAAAAACATCTTAGATGCTTCCTAAGAGGAAGAAACTTTGGGGGTAATCAAAGAAATATTGTACTGTATTTTAAAACAGGCTGTGACTTTTTACCTAGTGTAGTGAGGACATGTCGCAACTCAGCACCCATCACCGTCCCATTTCCCTCTTTGTCAAAGACCCGCAGTCCCTCCACAAAGTCCTCAAAGGAGCCCTGATCCTTGTTCTTAGCGATGGCCTGCAGCATTGGCAGAAACTGCTCAAAGTCCAGCATCTTCATGTTCATATCTAAGGAGTAAAAACGCACACAACGATCACTTATTTAATTCTCAACTTAATCCAGTTTTAATCTAGATCTCTTTATAATTTAATTATAAGTGTAAAAGATAAAGACACAGGTAGATTAAATCAGTGGGAATATCTGAAGTGGACCCGAGTACATTTAAACTGATTAAAGAAGAAGCATTGCTTTTATCAGTCAGAATGAAGGAAAGGAGAACAGCTTATTGATCAGGGCAATTGAAAGGGTCATATGGGTCTAGAACAACATGAGGGTGAGTGAATGAAGACAGACTTTTCATTTTTGAGGGAAATATGCCATTGAATAAACAAGGAAGGGCTTTTAAACATTGTTTTTAGTTTAACAAACATTTTATCAGAGGGAAAGAAATACTATTGTCATAAGACAGAAGTGTCTTTAAAGTATCAAGTTTGGTTTAAAATGAATAATAACTTCCCAAAATAATAATAATAAAGCAAATTACAGCAAAAAAGAATCAATCACAAATTCTCTTCCGTGTTTTAATTTTAACTTAAATAAAATGAGACTTAGAAAAAAATAATACATAATTAGATTATTAATATGCCATTTTATAAGTTGAAATTTTTTTAAAAAATCTCATTTTGAAGATTTTAATTACACTAGCTTTTAGATACTTTATTTTGGTGGTCCTCTTTAAACATTCAGCTGACTACAAGTAACATTAAAAAATAAATGTCAATAAAACAATAATACAGCATTGATAGATTGCTAGGCTCAAGGTAACCAGACATACTTGCAAAGTTAGAGTCAGTAGAGTGGTTATTCAATAAAAAGTGGAGAATCAAAAAAATATATATTTTGGCAAATATGAAGCAGACAGTCTATTAATACTCCACAGTCTTTAAAATAAAGAAACTTTAATTTACTGAAAATTTACTTATTTTTTACAGGCTTTTACAGGGCTTTCTAAACATCCTTGCAAGTGTGTTAAGGCAAGTTGGACACATCTGCAGGACACAGGACCTCCAGGACCGAGTTTGAGAACCACTGTGAAAACCCATCTTTATTTTATATGCATCTTTATTTTTAGGAGTGTACTGACTGCTAGATGACATATAGTTGCATAGACTGGACTATTGCAACTCTCTACTAGCCGGGCTTCCAGCTAACTCTATCAAACATCTTCAGCTGCTTCAGAATGCAGCAGCACGAGTGGTCTTTAATGAACCTAACGGCTCGTTTCCACTGACTGGTACAGTACGGTACGGTTCGGGTCAGTACGGGTCACCTTTATCAGGCTAGCGTATCCACTATAAAGGGTACCCTTTTGGTGGGCGTGGTGTAAGACAGAAAGTTTCAGTCACATCATTCTCGCTAGAGGAAATGTCTACAGTAAAGCTGCACAGGTCGTTCAAAAAACATTAAAAGCACTTCTAACAAAACAGATGCTTTATACACATAAATATTTCTGTATAAATGTTTACTAACTTTTCTATAAACAGGAGTTGATTATAACTGCAGATCAATGACAGTGCAAAATAGCCTACTGTAACGTCTGTAATTAAATAAAATAAATAAATAAATGAACATATATGAACACATACAGCCCCTTACAGTCTCCGATATGTTACCAACTACAGAAAAACTACACACATCATACATTTCGTTCTTAATTAGGTTCAAAACAACACTAAGTATAGCCTACAGTCAGTGAAAACCTCTCATCTGTGTCTGTAATTTTTAGCAGCACATGTCTTGTTGCCTCTGTTAGAGAGTAATTCCATCATTCCCAGTTCATATTAGTCCAAAAGGTGATGATAATAATTAAAACAAGGCAGTTTGTTCACGTTTGCTGACGAAATAACGTGCTCTTTTTTTTCCCCAGCTTTTTTCCACTCTCGTGTTTGTCCTTTTCTTTCTGAATGTGTCATTCTCGCGTTTGTCAGCTTCTAACGGGATCGGGTTTCCAAAGCACGTCAATAATCAAGCGCGCGTTATTATTATCAGCACAAGAAGTTTGTTATTTCAGATACAACGTTAGACGCGTGGCGAGCACAAGGAAGACAGCGAAACCGATCGCGCGTCAGACTGACTCGTAAAAACAACTGCTAGGCACAGGGTAGATTCTGCTCTACTCCATGGCTGTGTGACTGTTCATCAGGACGATGATATATGAATATATAATTCCGCTGTAATCTCTCGTTGTGTATTTTAAACATGGCGGGTCCTTTGTTTACATACTGGCTTGTTGTAAGTGAATGACGTATTTCTTCTGTAAACCAATAGTGTTCAGCTGCATGTCTAGCTCTGCCTTTTGGTACCCTTTCTTGTGTTTGGGACCCTTTCGAAAGGGTCCCGAAAAAGTGGTACGGTACAGTTTGGTTTGGTACGCCTTTTCTGTGAATGAACATCGCCTCGTGGTTCCATCCCACAGAGGGAAGAAATCTCTTTCCCGAACTCTCGCATTCAATCTGCCCAGTTGATGGAATGATCTCCCTAACTGCATCAGAACGGCAGAGTCACTCGCTGTCTTCAAGAAAAGTCTAAAAACTCAACTATTTAGTCTCCACTTTCCTTTCTAATCTGCAATTGCCTCTCTGGCTCCACCGCTAACTGTATTAGAGAAAAAAAAAATTACTAATGTTCTGCGTCTTACACTTTACATACCTGAAACTTGCCTACAGCACTTATTCATTGTTGCTCTTATAGTTGTGTAAATTGCTTCCTTGTCCTCATTTGTAAGTCGCTTAGGATAAAAGTGTCTGCTAAATGACTAAATGTAAATGTAAATATTTACTTATAGCCAACAAAATGTCTAAAGGGGACCATCAAAACAAAAACAAAAGTTACCAAATCAAGTGCAAAGCATTAAAACAAAGTCCAGAATAGTAAAACAGAATTCATAGTGCATTCGTCAAAAAATGAGTGTTTTTTACAAATAACACAGAGCTGGGAAGCACAAGACGAGCCTGACCTTCATTACTGGGGTTGCCCAGGACTTTAAGGACCTCAGCATTGACAGGGTTCTGGCCGAGAGCTCGCATCACATCCCCACACTGATTGTACATGATCTTCCCATCTCCTGTTCGGTCAAACAGGAGGAAGGCCTCCTTAAATTCTGATGGGGAGAGAAAGAGAATGAAAGGCATGTGATGCAGAAAATGATAGTTATGTGGACTGAAAAAAAAGAAAGCAATATTGATTCTAAAGCAACAAGCACAGTTTGATGTAAAATCATTAGGCTTGTAGTTCTTGCTAGAGGCTTTGAGATCACTATCACAGCATTTGGCAGAGCAGCTTAGAGGAATGCAGCTCTTCCCGGGGCCGCCCTGAGTCAAACTTCACACACACATATACACACACACACACACTGTGATTAACCATATATGGACAAAGGAGAGAACACAGCACTACATCAACAGCCATTTGTGTCCCAAATGACACACTGAGTATTGTTCTGTCTTGTGTGCGATTCCTACTAAATAAACAACAGAGAGCGGTTCATCATAGTCTAAGGAAACACAATTAGAAATTGCTGGAAAATGCACACAATTAAAGTGTTAATATATAGTAGTTTATAATGGACAAACTGATAAAAACATATTTATTCCTATTTATAAGAAAAGGTTATAATCCTTAAACTGCCTTTCTGCATATTTATTGTAGTCTTATGAAGATAAATGTTAATACAGCTTTATAAGACTTTCAAGCAACAATTTTAAAGTTGCCGTGAAATTAAATGTTAGTCTATTCAGTCTCTCCAGGCTCCTGTTCATCCTCCACCAACACCTATATGCCAATTTTTAATTAAAAATATTATGCATGGAACGATAATATTTGGAAGGTTACATTTGATTGTCACAATACAGTAGAAAAAATCTGTCGCAACTTCAATTGTTACTGTAAATATTTTGAATCAATAATTCAATTCCTTGCAACCATCAACTTTCAAACCGATCGCAGATCAAATTAAAGATACTGTGTGAATATGCTGTTAATTTACTAACCCTCAGACCTTCAAATCATTTTTTTCTAAAGTCCAACGTTAAAGAACATTTTCAATTTTGGATGGAATCTTCATGAACGTAATATCCACAGATTATTAAAATGTCCCCACCAATAATTTAATCGCCTCCAAAATAAAACACTGCTTGTCGAAATGTTCCTGTCAGGCCTACTGTGCAAGACATGGATATAAGCAGCTATATTTCAAAGAAAAGTGTCAATCACTTGAAGTCAAGTTTCCTACATGTCCACTAAAATAGTAACCATGGATGTGCAATTAATAAAACATTTTGTTTTGATTTTGGCCTCCATGATGTTTATGAAAAAACAATGATCGAGATAAAATGGTTATTGTGTCATATGCCTTCCAAAAGTCTGCATTCATTCCTTGTCAAAGTAAAATCATGTAAGTTTACTTTTGCACCATAAGATACGCTTGATTTAATGTTGTTTTTATTATTAATTGTATTTTATATATTTACTTATTTATTATTACAGTTTTTTAAGTGCAAAGTAGAACATGTGCTGTTCTGTTTGCACACTCAGAGAAGGTAAAAAAAAAACATAATTGGCAATATTATACATGCAAAAATGTGTTCAGATGCGGTCATAAGTGATTGTGCATAAATAAGCCCTCAGTAAAAGGAAGTCTTTATCAAACTACCTTTTTGTAAGACATTCCTTTAACTTTACATTTTAAAGGTTACGCATTTGGTTCGCATACGCTCCTTCTGGAATTTTCTTGAGGGTACTCAGTGATTACGTCTTTCTAAATTTGTTTTATAATCTCCTTTAATTTTGTCTTTGTTTTGAAGCATTTGTATGCATTTGTTAGAATGTCTAACAAAGACTGCTGTACTTGTTGTTACGAGATACCAGTACCACTGTTGTTCTGTTAATAAATACATATTTTTTATAGTGAGGTTACATTTAAATTTTACAATTGGGGGGAACTTCGGTATCAAATTAGACCCCCAACAAATTATTAATGAATTATCCCTTTTAACACGTCTATGGGTGTGACAATGTAACCTGCAAACGGGTCAGTGAGTAAATCTATTTAATGAATGATTCAAAAGATTTGAGTCACTGAGATGAATCAAATCCGCACTGCCCTAGAACTGCCCTGTGAACACAAACCTGGCTCTCTGTCCTGCTAATACGACCACAACAAAAACATCACATCATCTTTCAACTACATTAAATTAACTTTAAAACTAATTTAAATAGATCACTTCATAATTATCTGCTTGATTCCCATCCATTTTCCTGTCCCCATGAATGCTTTTAGCGTTTCCAGCTACACATTCCAGAGCAGCTTCCGGTCCTTCAAACGCGACGCATCGGTAAAACTGTTTGACTCCAACATTAACAACAGAAGTATGTACATTAAAAATGCTAATGTCAAAATGGTCTGACTGCTTCACATTATCCACTGGTTTGTACACCACATCATGTGAATGCTAATCTGAAAGCACATCTGTCATCCAGTGTAAAGTGATGTGCAGGCCTGCGTTTATTTGTATTCATCTGCAATACAAACGCAAATCTATAACCTCGACGAATATACATCATTATAATATTACAGCCAACATTTGAAACTCACCACAAATCTGGTCCTCCGTGAAGTCAGACTGCCCATGTCAGGATGAGGAGGGCATAGGAAAAAATGGAATAGAAACAGAAGAATTTGTTTGATCTTTCAATAAATATGCTGAGAATCTCTCTCAGAATAATAATATTAATAATAATACACTTCAGACACAAATGTAAGACATATATTAGCGAGCCGGAGGTTGAACGCCTTTTTATTAGATGATTGAGGTATTAACGTCATGACTGATAAATGTGCCGACTTTATGACTAATGGACGCTGCCTGCTCTATAGTGAAAATGAGAGATGTGTGCGGCTGAGATGATGGGCTTACCATGACTGCAGTGTTTGAGGATGGAGCAGAAACGCGTCAGACCGAGCGCTGGTCAATTACAGTATGGTCGCGCGCACTCCGCTACACCGCTATATTCGCGATGACGTCATGTCAACCTGATTCAAGCAGAATCGGCCAATCAAATAGTGCGGGCGCTGGTTTTCCTCTACTGGCATTACCGCTCTGTCAGTAATATACAGGCAGTTGAAAACATTGGCAATATGGCAAGCCGTTCTATCATTTAATATATGCACCTTTTTCCCATGTCCCATGACTCCAAGTAGAGGTCTGCACGCACGTACAAATTTTTAGTCCCGCTCCCGCCAGGTTTTATTCCACACCTGACCTCTTGCCGTCTATTCAGTCTTTGTTTTGTTTTTTTTTAGAATTTTCTACCCTACCCAACCATTCCCGTTTAAACTGGGTACTACCAAAATAGAGATATAACAGATAAAACTGTAGGTTGTGCAAGGATTGTAGGCTACATGTCAGTTTCATTTGCGACTTTTGATGAAACATAAGTGCCGTCCATGTTGCCGCCTTAAACCTGAGGTTCCAGTCTGCTTAAGAGTAAACATTTGAGGTATTATCACATCAAAAGGCAATATTGCAAAAGATATTTTTTTCATCTGCATCTATGATGCATTAAAAAGACTCCCATATACATCAAACTTGCCTGATGTGGGTTTCCTAAAAGTGAACTGGCCATTTTCTAATGCAAGCTAAAAAGACAGCACATCTTCCCTTAGCTCTCTCATGTTGGTAAACACTCTGAGGAGTGTTTTGCAGATGATGCGCACACAGACTGTGCTAAAGAGAAAAAAGCACTTGCAGAAAGCACTGATCATGCATTCAGCCTGTGTAACAGTCGTGAGTACTGGCTGTACCGCTGCTCAATAAGAAAAAGGAAATGCTGTTCCAAAATAATGTCGAGACATGGGAGCGCTATATTGTTAGACCGCCCGGCCCCGTTCAAATTACACCAGAGTTACAGACCACTACCACGTTTTATTTGGAAATTTATTCCCACGACACAAAATATCTGGTCGGGTTCCTCGGCTCCTGAGGTACAGCCGCAAGAATGCAGAATTTTAACTAAAAGAGTTGTAAACAATAGCTGTGCATCAAAATGCACTCTTAAGGTACACATGAAATTAAAACTAACCAAGTTGATTTTGTTACCTCTCATTGCTAGTTTTGTGGTGAGCTATTCATCTGTGCATGTCATTAAAAAAAAAAATGTTTCTGCCCTAGTAATCTGAGGGTGCTTTCACACCTAGACTTTTGTTTCGGAACCTGTCTCATTTGCCCAGTTAGCGCGGCTCGTTTGGCATATGTGAATCCAGCAATCGTGCTCGGATCCTCACCAAAACAATCGCTCTGAGATCGCCTGAATGAGGTGGTCTCGGCTTGATTGAAATGAACTCTGGAGTGGGTCGATTGTAGTGAGAAAGCAATTCGATCCGAGCCAGGCTATATCACAGTGTATTATGGATATGTAATGGGCATATATACGGCTATATGAAGAGAGAATGATAAGTAGGGCGGGATGTCATTACTACCGGTAATTGTGTGTTTCATGCAAAATACAAGTTAAAGCATGCTGAAATATTACCCATTGCTGTTTATCAGTTAGGAAAATTGACCAAACAGCAGTTTTTGTTTATCTGTTATTACTCTCTATAATGTAAAGCCTACAATGCATAAGCCAACTGCCATGTCTGAGAAAGTCTTACCTCTGCTGTATATTTAGGGCGTCTCCATTCAAAATTAAAGCACAGATTTTCGCTAAGCCTATAATGTCTTATTGCTCATAAATTAACATAAGGACTCAAGACAGCGGAGCGGGACTCTGCAAAATAAACACTAAAACTCTGATTAATGTGAGGAGAGTTTACTCACATGTGACTTGTTTTAGCTATTTTGGTCCGTTTAAAAACTTTACCGTGTAAAAACGAACCGCACCAAGAACAAAGAGCAACACTGTAACAATTTTAATCCCTGTTTCAGAACAAATAAATCGATTTGTTTGCATTGGGTGTGGTTAACATACTTAACCACGCCCCTTCAACTGACAGGTTTGACAATAAAAAACAGAAGTTGAAAAAACAAGACACCCCCACAGTTTATTACTCATTTAACATTCAATTTCTCTAGGTACTGCGTCACAATATGAAAAAAAGTCACAGCTTCCAGTTCAAGCAGACTTTAAGTAATCTTATTTTCAATTTCAATACTCAAGACTGCAAAAACAGAGGATGCATGGAAGAACCTGGATGTGTTCTTGATCTCAATAATGCATCCACTGTTATAAAAAAATATATTAACAAAATGTTTTCAGTGACCATGATTATCCCTAAAACTTCCATACATGTTTTCCACAACTGTTAAAAATGAGCTTACTATACGGAATATAGAAACTAGTATATATATATATATACTTATTTTAACAGTAACTAGACATTGACTTCTTCGGGGTTCAGTCATTGAAACATCAATAGTAGGCTAGTTATTCATAAGTAGTGCATATTTTTAGATATAGGGCCTATTATTATACAGTTGTAGGCTACTTAATCAAGATATATTTTATATATTATTATTTATTCAATATTTACACACTAGTAGCTGAAATTAGAAAATAAAAAGTAGTAGTATGAAAAGTGATTCTAGTACACATTATTTATTAAATGTTAAAATAGATTGCCATACATCTTATACCGTAAAGCCGTGTATACTAGAAAGAAATTTGTGGACATGTTTACAGCATTTTATTTGTATTTTTGCTCATAACGTTTAAAAGTTATAACTTTTAGACAAATGTTAGTATAGTAACTTTTCTTGTATAATAAAAGGATAATCTACTTATTACTATCTATCTACAGTTTATTACCTGCAGCAGTGTTTTTTTTCTATAATTAAAACTAATGTTTTCATAATTTATTATATACGGTTTAAAATCTCAAGATGTTAGTTGCTGTGCGCTTGTTTGTATTAAAATGGTAACATCCAAACACAGATACACTTGAAAAAAAAATACTTTACTATAGGGTGTAGCAAAGTTGATACCACTTCTGTTTTGTAGCAAGTATACAGTTCCAGTTTACACTTTAAAATAAAAGCTGCTATATGGTTGAACCAATGTCAAAAACTATAACCAAATTATATAAATCACTGATGGACCTACAAGGGGATTCATCTCTGAACATTAAAGAAAGATGGGAAAAAGAAAGTGGCATTATCATCTCAAATGAGGTTTAGCTAAATATATATTTAGTACAATGGGCTACTTCCCGTTCTTCGTATTGGAGAGAATTTTGCTGGAGAAATATTACTTGTATTTTTCTTACTCCAAAACAGAAAATGTCATTTTATGGGAACTCAAATTGTTGGCGGCATTGTGGTTCACAAGACGCTAACTATTTTAACATATTTTGGGGATGTCCTAATATTAGAAGTTTTTGGAAAGGGATACATAGCACTTTAGAAAATGTCTTAAATATTTAAATTGATTTCAGCTTTGAGGTACTTTACCCAGGTATGCTGTCAATGGATTCCTTGGAAAGAAAAAACAAATATATGTATAGAATTATCTTTGATTCAAGTAAAAAAAATGCCATTCCTAGATGCTGGTATACATAAAAAAATAAATAAATAAAATATAAGCTGCATTAGCATTGGCAAGTTGCTTAAAAAATATGGATAATAAAAATGCCTGTTCTCTGTATTGTAATTTTGTACTGATTCCAGTGTGTGTCTTTAAAACATTTTTTGACTTTTATCAGATTCTCAAACACTCTTGTTGGAAAATATTGAAATATGAACATTCATCCTCTCCTCCATTAGATGGCACTAAAGACTCAGTCAAGTTGAATAATGTACTTCATGTTAGGAGAATCGAAGCACTTGATTTGTTTAGTTAAACTACACAAAACGTCCAGGTAAATACTTAACTAACTGATCTGACTACATATATATATATATTTTTATATAATATAAAACATACATTTAATATATATATATATATATGTATATGTATATGTATATATATATATATATATATATTTTTTTTTTTTTTTTTTGTAAAAACAAAATCCAATAGTTAGTATTAGTAATTAAGATAAAATGTTTATTGTTTGTAGTGGCACAGAAACAGCACAGGAGTTTAGATTGACCCATCTAGGCTGAGATACCTTTTTTAACAGTAACATGTCAATACCACAACAATAACAATGTCTATTAGACCTCATTTTATCTATTTAATTCACTTCATGAATAAACTAGAATTTTTTTGTTTGGGGACATAAAACAGCAGCAATATCAAGGATATGGCTTGGAAAAAAAGTATATATATATATATATATAAATATATATATATATATATATATATATTGTGTATATATATTGTGTGTGTGTGTGTGTGTGTGTGTGTGTATGTATGTGTATGTATATATAAACAAAGCGCCTATAGAAAATCATCATACCCATTTAAAATAATGACTTTATTTGTCACACATCCAGAAATCAAATCACAGTACAAATAACTTTTCCACCCTTTGAAATGTTTTTGTAGCCTTCTAACCTGTGCCTTTCCACAATTTTGAACAGAATATCTTTTAAAAGCAGAGTGAAATGTGAGTACAGGTATACATTTTCACAGGGTATGATGATTTTCTATAGGCACTGTATACATACATATACTGTTTAAAGAAAATGTAATTAATTCATACTTTTAATATCTCATTTAGGATTGTTTATATCCTCAAATGGCTCCTTTCACTCCTGACTGCTGCTCTCTCCACACTGGAAGCGTATGAAGTCCAGCACACGGGCATCTTGAAGAGTCAGGTACTGTGCCACTGTATATTTGGGATCTGGGAGAAACGTCTGGGGCAAAAGTCTCGTCTCAGAGTCACCACATGATAAATCGTCCATGTTGCCAAGAGAAACAGGTGCTTCACCCATTACATGTTGTGCCAGCTTCCTTCCAAGAGCGTATGTCCCTTCCTTAGGTTCACCTTGAAACACAACTAGGGATCCATAACGCCCCATCTCAATGCCAACCTGCCCAGCAACCGTCCCATGAATGTATGAGCCAATGTGCCAATCAGAAGGCACAGAAAGTGAAACGGCTCGCCTCATGGCGATGTTCTCACCCAAGCGCCCTGATGAGGCAGAAAAAAAGAGACAATACTGAAATAATGAAAAAAATATTAGAATATAAAATATTAAAACACAATAAGGTAATTATAAGGAAGTGCAAGGAAGACAATAGGGTGTGTTAGAAATGTTCATGTTAATTAAATCTTAATTTAAATGTTTAAAATATGTAATTGCATTTCTTTTATTGTACAGATAAATCCAATTTTGGGGCCCAAAAGATTTATAAATGTTCATGAGAGGCTGGATTTCAATCAAACGGATCAGATTATATTTTGAAATATTATGGTGAAAAATTACTTTCCATTAGTGGTGTAATGGATCACAAAACTATCACACTATGGTTTTTAAATCACAGATTGGACCATTTTTCAGATCAGCAAAAAAGGGAAGAGACAAATGTAATTGTAAGTGATCTTTGCTTCTGTTGCTGATAACACTAAATAAAGAAATCCAACAGTACAACAAATTTCTTTTCAATTAATGATTCAGCAATTTACACATAACACTTCATGTTTTATTATAGGTGAATCATTTTTAAAAACCTATTCAGTGACCTATTCATCCTATTTGATGGTTGTTTGTCCCCACTTATTGGTTACACAATGTAATTACTACATCATTCAACAGCATCAAATTCCATTAAACTGTGATTTTAATATTTACCATAAACATTAGTGTTTATATCTGAACTTTAAACTGTTCTTTCAGTACTTCTGCGTTATTTAATTTTTTGTAACAAAATGAAAAAGTGTAAAAACTGAATCTCTGTTGATTAATTGTAGATTTAAATGCAGCACTTTAAAGGATTAATTAACATATGCAAATCATTATCATTTATCATTCTATTGCGCGGGTTTGAATTGAGATCCTGATATTTTAATGTTTAGTTGTGCAGCTTTACACCGAATGCATTAATGCAGCCAAAACAAGCAGTGACAGGAAACACCTTTAACTAATAATCTGAAAGCATTTAGGTCCCACCACAACTTTTTTTAATCATCACTATATTTTACAGGGAAGCCAAATGCTTTCATACACATGATTTGAATAATGCCGGAGACAATCTCTCTGCAACTGTTATAAATGTTGGATTAATCTAAAAAGGTATTAATCCGCGCGTCACATGCATTCCAAACTGTGGGTTGTAATCTGTACAGATCACAGATCAACTGTGATCCATTACACTCCTACTTTCCATTATAATTAATTATAATATAGTAATTACATTACTTTCTATTTACTGCTTTCTATTATAAAACATGAATGAAATGATGAAGTTATATAAATAATAAATTCTAAAATCTCGAGAAACATCTGAAGATTCTGAAAATGGCATTTATTTGAAAATGTTTTTAATATTATTGTAAATGCATTTATAGTCATTTTGTTAATTGCATGCATTTCTGCTGAATAAAGTGATATTTAAAAAAAATTTATTTTGATTCCAATAAATAATCTAATTAAACTAATTATTAGTGAATGTGTGTGTATGATGGTTTGTTCTCACCTATAGTCAAGGCTAACTGATCTGCCAGTGAAGGTCCATCAGGAGCATTGAGTTTAGACATGTCCTCAGATGACAGCACACTCTAAATCACACAACAGATCAGAGTTTACACAAGCTGTGGAAGAAATGCACATTTCTGAAAAAGCAATTGAAGGGCATTTACCTTAATAAACCCAGTTTTTTTGCTGGTAGATTGATGAGCCATTACTGACAATGCAACATCCTTCACCAGCTGCTGAAATTTCTCATTCCTCGCCACAAAGTCTGTCTCGCAGTTAACCTGAATATGTAAACGTCCGGTCATTCACTGGGCATGCTTTTTAGGAACAATTACACACTGTATATTGATGTATACCTCAACCATGACGGCAGCATTGTCATGCATCATGAGACCAATCAGTCCTTCTTTGGCTTTCCGACCTTCCAGTTTGGTCGCTTTACTCCAGCCCTCTTTTTTTGCTTGTCCGTGAAGCCAGCTTTCTGCCTGCAAATTTAACAAGTCATAATTTGCTCACATATCACGTACCTTTCTTTTCCTTTATTGAGAAAGATGTTAGAAATGTCACTAAAATCTATGGAGCCTTTAAATTTCATGTCTCAGATATCACAATTAGGCATGGGACTAAAACCGGTTTCAAGGTTTACAGCGGTTTAGAAAAGTCAAAGTTTTAAAACCGCCAACATTCTTTGTTATACTGTTCCTACAGAATATCCCAGCCTTTTTTATGACTATTTTATTTAATTATTTAGGGCAACAGTATCTCCAGCAGAGAAGGACCACTTCATATCAAAAGCTACTGGTCAGCCCACAATTCAGCAAAGATCTGAAAACCAAACACCAACATCCAAGCATGCTACAGACCTGAACAGTGCAGTGGCTGTATCCAAAGAAAATAGACTTACAAAGATGCATTTCAAGTTTCTTAAAATAAAATATGTTGTTTTTAAAGGTGGAAAAAATAGTTATTTTTTTACCCAGATATTTAAAAAGGACATATTTTGCAGTGGTAATCACAATAATATGACACTGTGCTATTTTTATCCAAGGTTCTCATACTGTCAGAATCTAATACCGGCCCTGCAAAATCACAATACTGAAATGATTTATAACTCACCCTAATGTTAACTTCAGAGAATATTCTTGATTAATGCTAAATTTACAGCATTTGTATTACAGCAAAGAAGCTTTGGGGTCAAAGACTAGGTGTCCTATTTTTTTTTTTTTTAATGTAATTTAGAGTTCCCACCATTTTGTTACTATTTTCATCACAATTCTGAAGCATTATTTTAAAGGTGTAATTGAAGAAAGATTTGACCGTTTTAAATAGTCATGTTCAAAGAACTTCCATAAAACGTGTTGAGTTTAATACTAGTAGTAATTAAATGATGTTTCTGTAATTTAAGATTTTCAAATAATATAATAATAAATTATTAGTATTAAGAATATAAGTATTATAATTTCTATTTTTCTGTCTTTAACAGATGCACTGTACAATTGTTGAAATAACACCACAAAAAATTTAATTCAAGCCCTTCCAATGACCTGTGTTTGTTTTTAACTACTTTTCAGGTCTTGAATTCATATGTCTGAAATTCAAGCACTTTCAATATGTGTATTTTATACAAGTAGAAGTCAGTATGAATGTAACTTTGTTAGTCAAGGTACAATTGTGATCATTATTTATTCACCCAGATACTAAAACAATGAAAATGAATTCAATTAAGTTGAAAACAAACATTCTATATTCTAATGTACTATTGGGAAAAAACTGAGGAAGTCAAACAGACTCAGATGAGAATAGTCTATGTAGACTACACATTTGTGCATTTTAAAACCCAATATTTCTAACCAACTCCCTTAAGCTGCAGTCACACTAGAGTTTGAGCATGAGAAATTCTGTCACACGTTACTGCGAAAAAATTAAATAAGATGATCAGACTTTAAGAATGCAAGTGATTGCTCCATAATTTAAAGTTCTGTACAAAGAGTTCATGTCACATCTACAATTGGTCTGATGCAATCACGTGATGTAATTTCACTGGTAAGAGTTTACCAATCTTGAACCAACGCAGCAAACTGTGAAGCTTGTCGCATAAGCTTGCGTTTCCGGTTCACCACATGCGTATGAATGGAATGCTGCATCCCAATTCAAATACCATCCGTCCTAAATAGTATTTAAAAATAGAAGAATTAGTATGTCCCAAATCTTAGATGTTTGTATGACTATTATTTAATATCTAGCCAACTGGAAAATATTTAAATCACATTTTCTGTCTGCAACAATAATACTGAAGTTGTATAACGACATGTTTGGACATTAACGTCTGAATGCATAATCATCCAAACACCGGAGGAGATTTCTCTGCATTAAAGACTCGTGAATGGGAGATGAATGTGTGGAAAGTTTGCATACTCTTATACACACTCAAAAGTAGGCTATATATTTTTCCTTTACAAAAAAAACCCCATACTTTTAGAGCGTAGTGCAAGTATGTGAATTGGGACGCAGCAGAAGTCTGAGGGGCTAAAAATGCACTGTGTGACTGCGGCTTTAGTTGCATCAATAGCTTAAATTTCTAATGGCAGATGACTGCTTCTTATTCAGGGCTGTTATAAGGGAGAGATTGTCACTAATGGGTGGGGCTTTCCTACTCCCATGACATATACAAAGGGAGAATGTCAATCAAAGTGTTTCTTCAGACTTTTTTTATGAAGTGTGATTATAAAAACAATAATTAACTCATTTTTACCATTAGGTGCTGGATATATTCACACACTGTTGCCACACACATATATTTAAACCTCTTATAAAATAGATTTTTGCATAATACGTCCCCTATAAAAGAGGAAGTACACGGACTGGCTCGTACCTGTGTTATGTCATTGTTGCATTTCTCCAGGGCCTTTTTGCAGTTGACGAATGTGTAGCCCGTAGATTTGCGTAGCTGCAGTAGAAGCGCTTTGTCTGCTGCTAAACTCGGGCAGCTGGTGAACAGAGACTGAACGTGCTGCGTCAAACATCCCTGTGAATAGCACAATTTCATAACAATTTATTGCCACAAAATAATGATGCTAGGACATGTCATAGTCATACGGAAACTAATAAATAAACACGCATTTGAATGACAAGCTAACATCAAGCCCACCTTGACTACTTCACTCCTGACAGACCGAAATAAAGAATACATAGCCACTTCTGTACGGTATCTTCCTCAGGACTGACACCGGCTTCCTTACATCAGTATCAGGAATATCATTGAAGCACGTTTTCTACAGTAAGGGAGAAAGGTCAAACTAAGAGAAATCTCGAGATAACTTTAGCGCCATCTGCAGCACAGGAGTTTACATTGTACTTAATTGCTAATGGTTTTAAGCTAGTTTGTAATCACAGTCAGTAGTTAATTATCGTTGATATATAGTGTTATAATAATAAAAAAGACATATTAAAACTTAATAACGTGTTTGGGTCTTGAAAAGTTCGCATATGTAGTACCCAGTGTTGGGTAAAGTTACTTTTGAAAGTTTTACAATATTGAGTATACTTCCCAAAAAATTTAAATATTTACATTACTTAGATAATTTTTATGATAAGTATTGCATTATTATGTTACTTTTGAGTTACTTTTTTCTGGTGGAGGCTTGATCTCTTTCAGAACCTTCAGGGGAGTTTTTGTAGTTTTGCATCGAGGAGCTCTACAATAAACTACACACTGCATAACCTACATAACAAAATACATGAAAAAAAAATAAAGATAACGTTATCTTCTGAGAACTTCCTTACTCCAGAGCTATACATGCCGCATATACAGCTTAATGACATTTTAATTTTGTACTTTTTGTCTTATTAGAATTAACATGACTTTGTTCATTTTAATTCAGCAATTTTTAAAAACTAATTAATTTTAGAAAAAGTAACTTGCATCACACTTTTTAAAAAGTAACTGAATTAATTGTACTTATTTTTAACGTAATAATATTACTGTTCAAAGTAACGAGTAAAGTAAAGCATTACTAAATTGAGTAATAATATTTGCATTAATAAAAGACTGAATTAACTTAATAAAGACGAGTTATACAAAATATTCATTCATTCATTGATTCAATAATTTTCTTTTCGGCTTAGTCCCTTTATTAATCTGGGGTTGCCACAACGAAATGAACCACCAACTTATCCAGCATATGTTTTATGTAACAGATGCCCTTCCAGCTGCAACCCATCACTGGGAAACCCCCTTACACACACATTCTCTATGCACAAATTAGCTTACCCAATTCACCTATACCACAAGTAAACCTGAGCTTCCAGAGGAAACCCATGCAAACACAAGGAGAACATGCAAACTCTACACAAAAATGGCAACTGGTGGCCCACTGCGCCACCGTGATGCCTCTACAAATTATAAAAATAAATATAATTATTAATTAATTAATTGTTATTGAATTAGTGTTTAATGACTTTATTAATTTGTTTATTTTTGTTATTAGGCCTATCATATTACTATCATCATGTTATATTTTATATATTAAATTATTGTTCTGGTTGTTGATTCATGCAAACTTATCTCCGATCTATTTGAAACTTTTATGGGTTTTCATGAGCATCAACATCAAAATAAGTCCACAAATATTTTTTATTTATATTATCCATAAAAATTGTATTATTAGGTATATTATTGCCATTAAAATATATTGTCAGCTATATTCACATGAACATAATTTTAAAAAGCATGAATTAAATAATAATTCTAAAATTATTTTATAAATAACTCGTAAACCTTGTGTGCATCTTGATATGGGTGTGAATGCTCCACCTGCTCTTGCTGACTGTTTGCCCACGCAACAGCTCATGGAAACACACGAGGGAACGTGTTATTGGCAAGAAGACTTTCATGCCAAACACATACTGCAGACCATCATTTCAAGATAATCCTATATATTCTATATAAATGCCATAGTCATCTACAGAACCTGAACCCTGAAAGCTGATATTTCACATTTATTTGGGACATACAAACCAAAAAAAAGAGAGTAATTTACCTTTTTTATTATTGTGTATTTATTTATTAGTTTATTTATAAATCATTATTCGTCCTATTTTTATCATCTCACCACTTACAGTCTCATCTTTTTGCTCATAATTGAGTTATTTGGTCTTTGTTGCCCAATAATTATCACAACAAAGTGTTTGGGGGCATGGGAGGAGTTCCTAATAATTTCTTGATTTAAGAAGGTATAAAATCCAAAGTGGGTCTTACTCTGCAGTGTGTTTAACGGATCGTCTAACAATGAAGATCATCCTCATACTTTGTCTCAGCATCACCCTGATCTCTCAGGGCCACTTTGGTAAGTTCATGCAATTTATATCAACAGTATATGCATTAGTTATTATCATTGTCTTTTTACAATCACTAGGACACATTTCTCAATACTTTGGTGACTTGCAAAACTCTTTACAGTTCTAACCGACTTTTGTCTGTGCACTGCTGTTCATTCCATATTCAAAGGGCACTACATTTATCAAAATGCATAATGCATATCTCAGATTCATACATTCTTTCCTATTCAAAGCTTGTAATTCAGCAAACACACTTGGTCATCTATTTAAAAAGACCAAACAACACTAATTAGCAGGTGGATTTTTTTTTTTACAATATTGTTTACATTCAAAGTGTTTTTAGAAATCAGACATGATGCTGTAGGTTTAAGTAGATATTTGAAAAGTTCGAATGCAAAAGCTTCTAAGTGCTGTCTAAAATTTTCTTCTAAAATGAGCATTTTCCCTGTGATTATGTTCAGTAATTTGATTTTTATGACAAGAACTTATTTGTTGCCAAGAAAGTTAACGTGTCTAAGAAAAGTGCTTATTTTAGAAGAAAATTTTAGATGACAATTAGAGGCTTTTGCATTTGAACTTTCCATTTATTACGTTTATATTCGTTTTTGAAAGTTTAAAAAAAAATTTTTTGTATATAAACCAGTAAGAATCCTCTTCTTTTTCTCCTCTTGCTCTTTCAGCCACCTCTCTCTGTGGGTTGGTTCATGTATACACCACAAATTATACCTAAGTTGTGCCCTTTTTATAGATGGTAATTAAATTATGTGAAACTGTGGTATGGTACGGCAATTTTAATAGCATTTTGTTTTTCCAAATATATTTTAATAAAATATAAATGTAGAAAAAGTAATTTTATTTAGTTATTTTGTATTAGTGATTTGAACTCAAGCTGAAAATTTTTGGAAAAAAAGTCTGTAAAGCAAATTGGTCTGTCGGTACAGAGTTTTTGACAGTTGTTGTGTCCATAAGAATTTCCAATGATTAAAAACAAGTACCCAAGAATTCATGGAATTTGAAAGAAGTGATCAATAAATGCATGTACAGAAGCAATGAAAAAGGATTCACAGTTTAGATTACAATGACTGGTGTCATGCTTACTGTTTAAACAATTTTACAAAATCACCAAAGAATTGAGAAATGTGTCTTAGTCATTGTAAAAACTAATCTGTATATTCAGTTCATGTATGACATAACTGTAGCAATTACACAACAGCAAACGGTTTTCTTCTCTCTCTCTCTTTCTCAGATTCTCTGGACTTGTGTAAGTGTTAAAGCATGATACTGAACTTTTATTTTAAGAATATTTTTACATGTGAAATCTCCTTATTTAAGTGAAGTGCCTCATATACTTGTTTAATGTTTTAGAAATCTCATAACAGGTTCTGTCCTATTAAAAGAGCTGTGGTGTATTTTTCCCCTTTATATAAAATATAACTCAAAATTGTTCAATTTACTTTAATAACACTTTATCATGTGAAATGCTTATCACCTCCTCCAAGTATTACCATGACTATAAAACTCCTGATAGCTGATATGAGCTTCAATGTAAAATTTTATACAGGACATAATATATATATACATACAGCACTTCATTCTCAGAAATAAAGGTACAGTTGTGGTGCAGTACCTTTTTAAAAGATACAGTTTTTTTCCTAAAGGGTCTATATTTGTAACTTGAAGGTACATATTAGTGAGTAAAATGTACAATATTGTTATATTATAGTAAATCTTTAGGTATTAATATGTGCCTTTATGCTACCAATATGGACCCTGTGGGTACAGAACATAAAAAATAATGTATCTTTTGTCAAGGTACCAACCAAGTGAAGGCTTGCGTACCATTAATATCTTAGAGTGTAGGAGGGCCATGGTAAAAGAGGTATTTGGCCGTACAGAGTTTAATAAAGTTAAATGTTCCTTAAATTAATATTTAACTCCAAAATTAAAACTATGACATCATTAATCAATCTCCACTTGTTCCAAAACCTATTGTGTTTCTTTCTTCTGTAGGACATTATTTTGAAGAATCTGGTAGCCATTGACTCTTGATTTTTCTAGGATGTCAATGGTTTCCAACATTCTACAAAATATCCTATTGTGTGTTCAACAGAAAGCAATAAAGTTTTGAAACCAATTGAGTAAATGATGAGTAAATGTCATCCCTTCAATGAATAACTATCCCTTTAATCTGTGTGTTCACCGAGCAAGCTGGACTTTAGTTTGTAAATTAACAAGTGTATTAAAAACACCTCAAGGTCTGTTTGGTCACGTGAAGGAAAAAACTGCTTTTCATAACAGGCATATAAATAGGAGTTATGAAAGATTCAGTTCTAAACAAAAGGTTTACATGTGATGATAAGATCCTCAGTGTGACCCTGAGTCCTGTTTATTTTACATCCCAAACTTGATGTACAGCTCAGCTGTGTCTACTTCAAGAGATTCACACATGGTGACGCAAAAGCCCAAATAATGATTAATAGTTGCATTTTGGTTATTTGTTATGAAGAGCACTAGAAACAATGTTTGATGGTGCCATATGCTGCATTGATTCAATAAGTTAAGTTGTTCTCTGACATCTACATGGTAGGTATGTGGCTTAGGCAAGTTCAAACTATTTTCCAGAAATGGTTTATGCTCATTTTTTCCCATAAAATATCCCTAGAATCAGAAGGTCCATATTGACCATATTTAGAATGGTCGGGAATATTAATGAGCTCTCTGATTTTTGCCCTCTGTTCTCTCTTGTATTGTATTGTGGATAAAATATAGGCTAATCAAACTCCACAAAAAAAAAAAAAAAAAAGAATTACAGAGATTTTTAAAGCCATACTATAATCTTTTGTAGATTTTCCTGATTACAAGACAACAATTTCATAATTTCACTTTCATAATTGTCACAACAAAATCCTTTAATTCCAGATACCGTTATTTAATTGCAGTGCTTACTATTTTAATTCTTTTTAAGTGCTTCTTTGCTCTTTGGGTATTAATGTTTTCTTTATGTGCACGTTTTTCAAGCATTGGCCAATGTGTCAGATGCAGAGATCAAGTCTCTGTCAGAGACGCTGTATAAGTTAGACTCAAACAGAGCCACGACCTCTGAGCTGCTGATTGATCCTCAGACACTGATTCCTTCTTCTCAGACCGGCTCCGGAAATGATCTCTCACCACAGCCGTAAGACACACACTAAACCACCACAGCCATGATAAAAATGAGTGACCCCTTTGAAAAATGTGAGCAAAATACATTTATTTTACGTATCCTTTTAATCTTTCATCCAAAAAAAAAAAAAAAAAGATTTTGCCCAATTTTTATTTGTTTTATTTCAATAAACATTGTTGTGATAGTTAAAAAATAAAAAGACAATCAAAGCAGATTAAAGCTCATATTATTAGGGGTGTCAATAATTCTGACCATGACTGTGTACTGTATATACGGCATGCTTGAATGTTATTGTGCATTCTAATGCTCTGTTTCTCTTTAGATTGTTCAAGGTAGTGAGCAGTACATTGCTCTCTAAGCCCACATATAAAGCTTTCCTGGATCTGCTGGACAACTATAAAAAGATGACAGGAGAAGTGGAGGACGTGCCTTCACATGAAGAGCAGGAGCAGGACTCATTCCTCCAGCAGACCATGAACACAAACCTGGGGAAAGAGCTTTTCAATTTCCTACACTCTAAAGGTATATTTGAGCACCAGTCAAATGCAGTGTGATTTGTGTGTGTACTTTAGTGCTTATTGAATAATGTTGACATATTTATATTATTATATGAATACTTATCAAGAAAAATTTAATAAACTATAGTTTTTTTTTTCAAATGTTTTATTCATCACAATTTCTGAAAACATAATTTATTTAATGTTTTTACAGAAATATTAATTGCTGATTGTAATACACTCAAATAATGATGTCTGCTTGTTCTTATTTTAATTGAGCTGAAACAGCACAATTCTTCACAATTTTTTTTGGTGACAACTTAATTGTTTTATGTTCAATCCACTTAAATTTGTACAAACTAATAAGTCAACTTAATTCTTTTATCTTGCACAAACACACATTTTTTTACAACGTATGACACGTTTTTTCTATTTATAATATATAACAGCTATTTAAAATGTAAGAATATCTTACAAAATGTAAACAAATGTTCAACAAATGTTTGAACAGTGATATACATGTTTTAGTTTTATACATTATGGTCACTACAGTTTACTAAAATAATTTTAGTTTGAAATAAAATATAGAGGAAAAAAGCTAGAAAATGTTTTCATTTAGTTTATCATAATGTACTTACAGAATTAAAACCAAAATATTACAAAGAAAATATGGACTTTTTAAAAAACCTGACAAAAACACACAACAGGATAACTAAAATGTTAAATTAAATTATACATTTTAACAGATTTTAAATTAACCATGTTTAACAAAATATTTAATAAACATTTAACAAATATTTACAAACATTTTAATGTAAGCTTAAAATGAAAATATATAATTAGTATATAACTCAAACTATATAATACAATTCAATTATATAATACATATAATATATAAAACACTATTGTATAATGATATTATAAAATACACTATTCTAATAATAAATAATATAATAAAAAATATATAGGGAACTTCACACATTTTTGGGGGGAATCTCCTCATCCACCAACAGTGTGCAGTATCTACCTGGATGACCCAATGGGAGCCATATTACACCAGACTGTACACCAGCTGATTGGTGGAGAGGAGACAGAGTGATGAAGCCAATTATGATATGGGGATGGTTAGGAGGCCAGTGGGCAAATTTGGCCCACTCTTTTTCAAAGGGATTTTTAATGACCACATTATTATACTGGGGCGTTAGGACCCACACAGACCACAGATTGAGCATCACTAACACCATTTCCAGGATTAACACTACAACCTAGCTTTTCCTATGTGGTCTCCTATCCAGGTACTGACTTCAGGTGCTTAGCTTCAGTGGGTAAGCATGTGAGAGTTGCTGAGAGCTAGATGCTGGCTAAATTGTAGAGATACTACAGATAATTAATTTACTAATATTCCAAACTCCTTATAAAAAAATGGCTTAAATAAAAGATTCAAAATATTTTAATAAATTCTGTATGTGCTGTGAACACATTCAGGTGTGTATGGATCACAGAGTGAGTTCCTCCAGGACCTGAAGATGATGTGGTTCGGCCTTTACTCGCGATCAGACGGAGTCAAACTGGACTCCAGTGGCTTCGAGCACATCTTTGTAGGTCAGTCTGTAAATGATCTTTACAATCTCAAACTGTATTTCTCACCACTTCGTCTGACATGCGGTGTGCCGACAGGTGAAATCAAGGGTGGTAAAGTGTCCGGTTTCCACAATTGGGTGCAGTTTTATCAGTGTGAGAAACAGGGAATCCTGAACTACTACAGCCACAGTTTTGACGGTCCTGTGAGTCTTTTCCTTTGAGAGTCAATCAAACAAAACAGAGCCATTACAAGATGAGACACTGCAGGCAAAATCATGCACCTCTCCGTTTTATTAGGCTGTTCATAAAATGTTTTTCAGTTTAGTATACAGAACATCTGCAAAATGCACTTTTAAGTATTCCTTTTGTCAAACTTTATTAATTTGTGTCTGTAGATTATAGATATTTTAAAGCCGGATTTCTCAGACTTGTTTCTTCTGCACTGAATCATAAACCTCTGTTTCAGCATCACTTACATCTTAAAAATTGAAACGTCAATTGAAAGTCAATTTAAGCATGAACTAATTCTTCTGGGAAAACCTTGGTGTGTGTATTTACTGCTGAAATGGAGATTTAGGATGGAGAAAATTCATGCATGAGAAAAAAAACAGCCTTTAAAAATATTTTTAATTTAAATCCATGGACAAAAATTAATAAAGGGTGACACAAAGTTAACTTTTTCAGTAATTTCTTTACATAAAATATCCATTAAATTTACAAAAAAAATCACTTTGAGACCACAAATTTACAGGTACATGAAAAAAAATGAGCTGTAGCTGCAGTGTTTCACCTTAAAAGTGTGAAAGTTTGCTAAAAGTGCAGTTTGTCCTCTCTTTCTCTCTCTCTCTCTCTCTCTCTCAGTGGACCACGTATCCTGATGTATTGGGAATGCAGTTTAACTGGGATGGATATTTCAAAGAGCTGGGTTCTGCCTTTATTGGCTGTAGTCCTGAGTTTGATCTGGCCATCTACAGCCTTTGCTACATCACCCGTCCTGGAAAGAAGTGAGTTGTCCTATTTTTATTTCTGTCTTTATACTCATTTATGCATGATTTCAGTAAAAACAAAAACAAGGAAAAACATTTTGACCTTGAAACTGTGGGTAAAATGATTCCACTAATGAGACCCAAAGGGCATCTGCTGCATAAAAAGCATATGCCAGAGTAATTGGTGGTTCATTCCACTGTGGTGACTAAGCCAAAGGACAATGAGTGATTCAACTAAAGTTAAGAATGCAAAAAATTATTATTTTTTTTAGTTTATTTATATTCCTACAAAAAAAATCCATGATCCATTCAAAGCTAGTCACTTGCTTGATTTCCTTTGATTTGAATTGAATTCAAATGATCTAACCATTTTGAGCAAAACATGTGAACGAATGCTTCAAGGAATCACCCAAGCAATAAACTGTGCAAAAAAACACAGCAAAATAATTAGTATAATTATTGAATAGAAATATAAGGATCTAATTGTAAATATTGCACACCCTAGTCAGATTATGATTGAATTTTCCATCTTGACTGCTTTCTCAGGTGTGATGTGAGTTTGGGAGGACACAGTCTGGGCATTCAGACCTACACATGGGACAAGAGCAGCTATGGAGACGGAAAGAAGTTCATCGGGTCTGCTTACCCCATAACACCCTGATTCAGTTGATCAGCACAATACACCATCAACAGGTTCAACCAACACAACTCTCAAATATGAAAAATAGATCATTTTCTTGGTTGCTGGAGGAAATAAAAAGCATATTTCTCTGTCTTCTTTACTTTTAATTGTTAGGGTATATTTACAGTTTTGTACCCACTTTTTTAAATAAATTTTCAAACAATAGTCAGATTTACCAATAGTTTCAACCGCTTATATATTTATTATAATTATTATTTTACTTTTTCCTAGCATGTAGATGTGGTAAAGATTATGTTCTGATCTTCGAATTGAGCCTTGGGATGAGGAGGAAAGGTGATTTAAAGGCAACCTATAACAGTTGAAGTCAGAATTATTAGCCCTGCTGAATTATTAGCCTCTGTTTATGTTTTTCCCCACTTTCTGTTTAACAGAGAGAAGATTTCTTCAACATATTCTTAAACATAATAGTTTTAATCACCCATTTCTAATAACTGATTTATTTGATCTTTTCCATGATGACAGCACATAATATTTTACTAGATATATCTTATTTTATAAGACACTTCTATACAGCCTAAAGGGACATTTAAATGCTTAACTAGGTTGATTAGGTTAACTAGGCAGGTTAGGGTAATTAGTCAAGTTATTGTATAATGATGGTTTGTTTTGTAGACTATCGAAAAAAAATAGCTTAAAGGGGCTAATAATTTTGCCCTTAAAATGGCTTTTAAAAATTAAAAAGTTTTTATTCTAGCCAAAATAAAACAAATAAACAAAGACTTTCTTCAGAAGAAAAAATATTATAAGACATACTGTGAATATTTCCTTGCTCTGTGAAACATTATTTGGGAAATATTTAAAAAGAAAAAGAAAATCAAAGTGGGGCTAATAATTCTGATTACAACTGTATGTTTATTATAACTCTTTGAAACTGCAAATTTTAGGCTTTGATCTAAATTCTACCATTTTGGTGTCTACCAGTCTGTGGAGACTTCGGTGTTCATTTGTGCATCTGAAAACTCCACATTTATTATGCCTCTAAGTCACTGATATTATCTTCAGCGTACAGTGTGACGGCTGACAGCTGCTTCACACTCGGGAATGCTAATAAGGGAGAAATTGTCACTAATGGGTTTTCCTTCTCTAATGACATGAACAAAGGGAGAATGTCAATTAATGTGTTTCTGCAGACTTTTTTAATCAAGTGTGAATATAAAAAAATAGAAGGAATTATTTTTTTTACCATTAGAGGCAGGCTATATTCACACATGGTTGCCCCCTACAAACCTTAAACGATGAACTTTCACTTTGTTATGGTTAAACCCTGCAGTGACTCCACAATTCTCATGTGTTCTGAACTGTTGTGCCTGGTCAACTATAACCTCAGCTCAAAATAATACATCCCGCAGAATGCATGCATTGCGATAGCAATGCTGAAACGATATATTGCACAGCCCACGATCAAACCAAATACTAGCTAGGTGTACCTAACAAGTAGCTGTCGAGTGTTAAAAAAAAGAACAGAAATAAGCAACACCAAACTTCTACAAATGGTTTTATTTACATAAAAAAAATCCTCTTAGTTTGAAGTGTAAGACAGTGAGATTAGTGATGTTTGAGGTTATGGATCAACATCAGAGGCGCAGCGGAAGCCCAAGTTCGAGGCTGAACTGTCCGGTGTGTTCTGACTGCGGGCGGCACACCTGTATCTGTAGCAGTAAGACTACAGAGAGACAATAAATACGTTTACATAATAAAAACTAAAAGAAAAACAAATGTAGAATTAGTTTGGTGCATAAATAAACAGACCAAATTTGAACAAATCTGCAATTTATGGTTTAGAATGTTGGGGTCAGTATGACACATTCTTGAAAACAGGGCCATACCTACTATTGAGACTAATAATTAGATTTATGACCAAATTGTCCCAATATTTGACACTGATGATGCACTGTTTGTTCTCAAAATCTTTTCAATGTTAACTGTTCATGATGGTCTGCCTTAAGGTACATATGTTAAATGGCTTTGTGAATCTTTTACCTTGTGGCACATGTAGGATCCTCCTTTCTTGACTCTGTCTGTTCCTGATTCTGGTCCCTTCTATTTAAAAAATCAAAAAACATTCAGTTCAAACCTTTTGGGTGTTTGTGTGTTTGTGTGTGTGTGTGTGTGTGTGTGTGTGTGTGTGTCGGCATGCTTGCTTATTCTCCCAGTGGAGCCTTACAGGGTTAAACTTGTCTTCTGCACTGTGATGCACAGTCCACCAGTCTGCCGTCCACTCCCATGCATTTCCCACCATGTCATACAGGCCAAAGCCATTGGCAGGAAAAGACATCACCTGTTCAACACATTTTTACATGCTAAACATCTGCAGTAAATGCTTACAATTATAAAAGAAAATAATCAGGATTTGAGATGTAAATCAGAAAAAAAAGAGCTACACTCTATTAAAATTATAACAAAAACAACATAATAGATGCTGGTGTAAGGTCCAGCCAGTCCAATCACTGTGTCTGCTGGTGGAGTTTACTGCTAGTTTGGTCTTTCCAGTACAGAATCTTGAATTAGTTTAAATTTTAACTCATATCTGACTCTAATTTTAGCATGAGGTGGTTTAGAATATTAATATTATTTCTTCATATACTTGAATTAATGCCAATACAATAGATGGAGCAGCCTAGCACGCTATAAGATGTTTTAAGAACTCCGACTAACACATTGGCATTAATTCAAGTATACTTGGACTGTAAAAGGCTAATAATAGACCAATCTAAATGTGGGTAGGCCTTCATCTCTAAACTTATAATACTATTTAAATCATATGGTGATTATTTAAAGTTACTAATAGTTTAAGTAAATTGGTCTGCTTGATTTATTGTAATGATCAAGGTGTGATTAAATAGTTTTGCTTCAATTTTAGAAGACAGCTGCTCCATGGGGACACCACAAAAAATATTCTAATCTGAGTAAGTAGGGTTCTGCCTTTTTAGATCAGTGGTTAATCGCCTCTGTTTAGTGACCAAGACTGACATGCTTGTGTTTAAGAGATTGTTTACTCGGCCGGTAACTCAGGATGTTACAGAAATCCGAATGAACAAGTGGAAAACAAGAATAAATTTTACAATAAGCTTCTTAATTTTTTATGATTAGAGTGAGATAAAACGAAGACAGAAATATTAATATTCTGAACCACCTCATACTAAAATTGGAGTCAGATATGAGTTAAATTGAAACTAATTCAACATTGTGCACTGGAAAGACCGAACACGTACTGAACCTTCATTCACCAGTAGACACTGTCATGGACCAACTAGCTGGACCTTTCACTGGCTAGATCAGTGGTTCTCAAACTGTGGTACGTGTACCACTAGTGGTACGCGGGCTTCCTTCTAGTGGTACACGGAGGAACGAAATATGTCATGTACATGCTACATATATTTCAAAATGGATTAAAAATTATGTATATAATATGCCATATATGATATATAGCCTATATTTCTTAGGTAATCTGCCAGGTTTTTTAACTGTGCAGAGTTGTAGCTGCTTTACTGGGCCTACTATGCTACTGTATTTCAATACTGCTCATTTTGGTGGTACTTGGAGAGACAATTTTTTTCTAAGGTGGTACTTGATGAAAAACGTTGGAGAACCACTGGTCTAGATTATTTAATATTTATAGTCTTCATAAGATTACATTATAAAAACTGTAGTTCAAGCTGAAATCTAAATAACTTATTTTAGGTAATGTATTCTAAGTACTTTTGGATTATTTTCAGATTACTTTCATTTCTCATGTAATTCACAGAAAAAGTAACCGTGATCAGATTATTTTAAAAAGTAGGGAAAAAGAAATCAGTGTGCTCACATCTAAAGAAAATCTTGAAAGCAGGTGTTTGATCAAGCCAAACTAACTAAAGACAGAAGTAAACAGAATCAGCACACGCCACTCTTGCTCTTAAAAGACAGCTAAACCTGATAAAGACCTTATAAATCGAAATGTTTTCTAATAAAATTGTCTTTTGAGAGCTAATGTGGCACCATGCCGATTCTGTTTACTTCCATTTTAAAAAGTAATACAAATCTGATTACAATTGATGGATATTTTTGAAATCCGATTACACAGTCCAGATTACATATAATCAATTACTACCCAGCGCAATGGCTACAAATGTCATTTCTTTCTGTTGTATTACCGGGGATGTGTTGGCATAGCCGTCCTCTGCAGTGTTGTGATTAGGGAAATCTCCCTGCCACAGGTTAGCATAGTGCTGCCCTCTTGGCATTAATTTATTTCCCCATGGGTACATCCTATCAAAAGAGTTATAAAGAGAATACCTTAAAAAAGACATTAAAGTAGACAAGAAGTAATAAAACACAGACACTAATGCACCTGTCCTGTAGTCCTCCTCTACAGGCCAACTCCCATTCAGCTTCTGTAGGAAGTCTGCGTTTGGCCCATTGACAGTACGCCCGTGCATCATCCCATGAAACATGCAGAGCAGGGTGATTCATCCTGGTTATAAAAGCACAGATTACATTTAATAACATTACTTTTACTGGTATGTACTGTATATGACCTGGATAAACATTAGGGCTGCATGATATTGGAAAAATCTGACATTGCAATATTTTATTTTGCTGAGATTTATATTGCGATACGACCACAATTTTGGCAGACGACTTGAATAGCTCTATTTGGAATTAAATCAATTTAAATTGATTGGAATAATCTTTTCGAGGAGTGTATCAAAGAAATTGCAAGCATAAATAAATAAATAGAGCAAAGATAAAAGTGAAATAAGTTGGATTTTTCATTACAGTAACACGATACTTTGCCCCCGATGATGATAGATCACGATATCAGTGATATAGAAAACCATCCACAATATATCATGATATTTGTAAATAAAGAGGTTAAAATGTTGCAATAAGGTATAAGATGTATTTATTTTATTAACAGCACATATTTCTAAGAATTGCAACATTAATACACTTCAATCCACCATTACAAGAAGCGCCACCTCATGCATATCGCTATTTTGGTCTGCCTCTATTATTAAATGTAATGTAAAATGTAAACACTGTACAATCTTCATTGCTGATCAACAATAATAGTCCCAACTCCATA